TTAATTTGATAATTAAAATTAAATTAATAAATATTGGGTATCTTAAAATAAATTTTTAATTTGACATCTATTTTAATTTGTGCATCTATTCACCCCTTATAAATGTCATTTGTCTAACAAGAATGTAGTGTATTTCAAAAAATATAAGTACATTGGATAATAAAACTAACTTGTTAAAATAATAAAAATTTGATTTTAAAATTTATTGAGACGTAGTTATTAGATGCATTATTATTAAGTATAATCTTCAATTTAAATATATTTTAGAGATAAATAAAGTTTTAAATTTTGATTTTAAATCAATTACTAAAAATATTTAAATTACAGATATTTATAATGTATATTTAACACTAAATAAAAATCTCCAAAATGAGTTATTTAATATTTTTAATAGGATATGTTTGATGGATATACAATTATGATTTCATGTGATAAAATTTTTAACAATAAATTTTTTTGCAATAATATTTTATAATTTTATTTTGTTTAAATATGTTATGAGTTAATTTTATATAAATAAATTATATATTATTTTTCCAAAAAAAAATTAAAAACTATATAAATAAAAAATTATTTTTAATTAGATAAAAAATATTCATTAATCCGTTAATTTAAGACTAGGCTACCCGTTAATCCATTAATTTTTTTATTTGACCAGTCAATTTCTAATTTTGTCACAAAGCATCAATATATTGTGAATTGGAACTTCACCCTTCCCATATTTACTTAGCCAAGTTAGGTTTATGCTTTAAATTAGACAAAACAATATCCTATTATAATTTCTGAACAACAATCACATCCCGTCAAGATTATACTTTACAATTTGGAGAGGATCTTGACCATATACACCCTAAAAGGATCATACCACACGTAGAAAGTGTTATACCAGAATTTTGCTCATAGTAAAAACTTAACCCACTATTTTTTTGTTACCATTTGTTATCAAAGGTAAAACACCTTAGATATAGTTCCCAATATTTATTTCATCTAATTATTGTGGTAAGTCCATACTACTATTAATAGTTCATAATTTATTTATTACTAATATTTTATTATTATTTTGAACTTGTAGAGGAATATTTGTTGTTTGTTTTTTTATAAATTTAAATAATCTATTAAATTTCAATGTAAGGTTCAATCATATTCTTAAAATTCAATTTTTTCCTTCAAAATTACTTTAGTTTAAGAAACATAAAAAAACTTATAAAGATAAAAGTAACACATATTCAATGTTTTCTCCTATTTTAAAATATAATTTTGATTATTCAATTATGAAAATTCCTTTTCAAGATTTATAACATTACAATTAATAAATTTCATATTAATTTTTTTTAATATAACCAAAAGATATATATTTAAATATATGAATATATGATGAATCAAAGAGATGAAATTATAATAAAATATTTAAAATAAGATCCATATTAAATGCAACTTCAAAACTATCATTTTTCTAAAGAGAAACATCTAAATAAATTTTAATATATTTGTTTTAAAATGTTTTCTTTTTTATTGTTCCTTTACTTGTTATGGGTTTTTTTGTTTGTCATGTTATTTATTTAATACAATATCAAATGGTTATTTTAGATCAGATGTATTTACTAAACAATGATTTAGAACATGAAAAAAGATTAATATAAGAAATATTTTTGCATTTCTTAGACATATTAAAAATAGTCCGTACTTACTACGTAACAAAATAATAAAAGTATGTCAAGATTTATTGAATTCATACCTATATCGAGCTTATAATTATCATTGACTTGATTTATGATTTATTATGTATTCTTGAAATGATAAAGTGACATGAGTAGTATTTGAAAATGTTTTGTATAATTCAAAATTTATTTTTAATAATATTAAAAAAATTGTAATTTTTGTCTTAAAAAAGTAAAAAGTTATATTCGAGAAAAAATTAGAAACTAAATATTTTATATGATCACTGACGATGAATTTAGAAAAGAAAAAATGACTATTATTTTAAGATTTATAAATAAAATTGGTAATATTAAATTTTTGTTTTTTATATTATACAGGTTAAACTTATAAGATTTGTTACTCTTAAAAAAGAATTATATATTATTCTCTTTATGTATAATATTGATGTTTGTAATATCTATAGTCAACTAGGATAATGCTAGAAATGTGATGATAGAATAAAATGAATTACAAATATTATAATTCATTAGTTTTTTTAAGGTTTGGTTTTTATTATAAATGTTGCATGTTTCTCGTCATTAATTAACTAACTAAAATAATAAAAAATCATCTAAACTCTCACCGTCCAACAACACCTAAATTTTCTTGATAATGCTTTGGAATCTCACAGTACCCAATAAAAATGAACATTTTAATGCATTATATCACAAGTGATATTCTTGTGGCGTTAAGGTTTCATATTTTCACTATGCATTGGAAAAAAAGTTTGCATCACACGCAAAACATAAGCTTTTATCTCTACGCAACTGCAATTTGGCAAGGAATATTGTTTTTAACATTTTGAGTTCTTTTGTTTAAGGTTGTGTTGGGGTATGGAGGATTTAAAAGTAATGATGGTAAACTGGAAGGTTTTAATTTCTGAGTGAAAGGTAGAGTAGAATTTGTGGTTTGTGTTTTGGATTGGTAGGGGACAGTGTAGATTAAAGGTTTAACTATATATTTCTTTTTATATCGAGTGGCTAACTAGACTTAATGAATTGACAAATTCAATGATTAAGTAATAAGTATGACGACAATTATCTATTTTAAGTGCCCCATAAAATCTAATAGAGTCTTAGTTGCTACCCTTGCACACAGTTAGCAAGCACAATGAATTGAACTTAATGATGCAAATATTTGTTTAAGTGAGCTTGAACAAACTACGTTTGGGACATTCATATGGAAAGAGATTCAAGCTCCAAATGCCCAAGTAAAAATCACTCATTTTGAAAACAAATTTGACCTATATATATTTTGAGACCAATGGACAATCTATACTCATCAGAGGTGTACCATAGCATCCAAAAATTTGGTCACCCTTAAAAATTCATTAGAATCCATTTGTACCATCAAATCTCGAAAAATCCAGTTTGACATTCCTAGCTTGAAAAGGTGAGTGAAAACTTGTAGTAAAAACATCAATGTAACGATATATATAAAAAAACAAAAAACAATAAACTAGAATATAGTTACCTTATAATAAAAACTTTGTGACAATGTAGTTGATTCTCCTTCTATTCTATTATCGTACACAAAAGAAATTACAACGATTTCTATATTAGAAAAATAGATAAAAGAACTTTGAGATATACATTCCTTCTTATCTTGCATAATAATTAATAATTGTTGTAATTACAAAAGATAATTTTTATCATTAACTTTTTAAATAATTGATATTGTAAATGAGAAAGAAAACATTTGTTTTTACTAAAATAATGATAAACTCTTTAATGTTTTTTATATCATGCTGAAAATCCTAAAAAAAAAAAAAAAAAAACAAAGACTATGAGAAGTAACTATAGTGTTTTATATAGAGGTTAAACTTCTATAGCTGTTTATCTTAACATTCACTTGACAAAATTAATTAATATGAGGAAAAGTAATGTAAATAAATTATTTATGATATTTTTATATAAAATCAGTATATATCATAAATAAATAAATAAATAAAAATCGTAACTGTGTGTTTTTTAACGATATCACGTTTCTACCTATAACCTTTTACTGAAGAACTATATTCTCTATGATAAAAAAATATCGCTATTTTTTAATTATTTAATTATTTTATTTATTTTTATTTCTTGTGGTGCATGAATGTCTACTACTATACTACTTCTTGGTTAGTGCAAAGTTATAATTAAAATTAATAATTAGTTCTATAAATGGTCAAAGCCAAATACTCTGATAATTAAAATTAAAAGATTATATGTGCTAATTTCTAAAATAAAATAATTTTATTTAATTTAAAATTAGTTTATATATAAAAATTAATTAATATTTTTTTTTAAGTTTATACTAATAAAAATACATATTTATTTATGTGTTCACAATTTTTTCTATCATATCATATTATTTTAACATATATTAATTTTCCTTACATATATTTATAAATATAATATGTAATATTATTTATTATATAAAAATAATAATTTAATTAAACAATACTTTATTTTGCTGTAAGTTTGATAATATAAAAATAAACATTAAAATAAAAATATTATGATAACATTTTTTTTGTTTGAAAAATATGTGAATACTAATTCGTGTTTTATTAAATAAGTAAATTATTTTTATTTGATAAAAAATACAATAGTTCATTAAATAATACAAATATTAAAAAATATAATTGGACCATCGATATAAATTTATTAGTTAGTTAGCTAGTCCATCGGGGCAACGGTATGTTTTTAAGTTCTTTAAGTAACGAAACCCGAAAAAAAAAGACAAAATATATTAATTAATGAAACAAATTATATGTTTACACAAACGAGTATATTTTTTGTAAGGGTGAATTCATATATTTAATAATTATTTTTTATTTAAACATTAAAATATGTTCATGTATCTGATATTTTCTAATGAAAATTTTGTATATACATTATACACATAAAGAAAAATAAAAATATTAATCACTTATATAGAAGAAGAAAGTTATTAGTCAAGTTACCGAATCTGATTGACTGACTTGAACATAAAAAGAAATCAGAAATTCGTGACACGAGAGAGATTAGTGAAGAAGATACCAACTATTTTTTATTTTTTTTTTCATGGTCCTGCATGCATGATTTCTTGTTTATTTATTTATTTATGATCATAATCAACTTGATCGTGTTCCAAGTTGCGTGCTATTTGACTTAGACCCCGAACTTTCAACGCACCAGTCTCGTTAGACTGCATTTTTGTCTTCTTTTTACCTCTCTGAGTACATTTCAAATTAAGCTTTTGGCAGTGTCAAATTAGGTCCCACCCTGCTCCGTTGGTGGCCACAACTTTCTTATCGCAACTATATAAAACCCACGCATATGCATTATTTCTCAACACTCAAAACATCACACCCGCAACACAGTACTGCAAATTTTGGGAAGAGTCTTTTTCAGATGGGTGAAGCGCCGAAGATAGTGCAAATCGAAACGAGGTACGTGGAAACCGATGCTGTGAACTTCAGAGACGTGGTTCAGAGCCTCACCGGGAAGAACTCCTCCACGGATTGGATAGGCCAAAATCTTAAATCTGCTGCTGAATCATGCTCAAAAGGAGGTATCGCTGAGCCAAAGAAAATAGGAGCTGCTGCTGCTGCTACAAATGAAACTCTCTTACCTTCTTCTTCTTCTACCATTCAAATGTACAACGACGTGTCCTTCAAAGACTTAGATGAATTCGTGTGGCCTCCCATCGAGATGATGCCATGGTCATACTCATAGACCTAGCATCACATCACAACAAGATTTGCAAATCATCATTCTTTTGCCCTTTTTGTTACCATCATAGAATTCAATTCATGTTATACTTAATGTAACTGCATGAGGTTTTCTTTTTTTCACAATGGAAACATTGTTCTGATATATATTTTTTTCTCTCCTCTTACTATTTTGTTTTGTAATGATAATGAATGAGGTATTTCATCAGAATTTTTGTTTTACTGATTACACTTATTTTTTTGTAAGCAAATCGTTCAAATCAGCTAGAATTAGAACAAACCTTTAATTCAACTTTTAGATTATATAATATATGTTCATAATGATAAATTAAGATTCTTAAACAAAATCTATATCATTAGGAAAAAAAGTTGACCTTATATTTAGAAAATGTCTTAAAAAGCTTTTTAAAGGAAATATAACAGCACAAGTGGGTTCAGGCAATCCGCCAGCAAATGTGATTGACCAAATTTTGATTAGTTTAATTTGGTTTTTGCTTATCCAACCACCTTATTTAGTTTCGATTTTAGGATTGCAAAAGTTGTGACTTGAATGAAATTCAACTTGAAAGAACATACTTATGCAGCATGATATAGAACATTTTTTCACTTTCACTGATATTTTTCTAAAGCATGTACAATGCTGTCGTGGTTCGAGTTCACACTTTATTTTCAGTAAGCTATGAATCTTTCTTTATCATTAATTGAAGAACTAGTCTATAGACTATATTGACTCATTTTCAACATGTTGTTGATGGGACAAGTCAAGATAATTTGGCGGTCCATTTTACTATTTTTATATAAGAATTATAGATATTTGTTCACTCAATTTTTCTAGGTGTATATATTTTTAACATGGGTTATAGTATAGACAATTTTATAATTTTCAAACAAAATTTAAATATGTTGAATTTTAAATAGCTTTGACTTTAATTTATTTAATATTTGAATTTTGTTTGTTTGCATAAGATAATTTAAATTTATTAAATTTTAGTTTTTAAATTAAGTATTTCTATTACTACTGAATAAAAAATTATTAACTGGAAAAATAACCGCTAAATAACATTAATAATGACAGTATAAAAATTATTGCACACATTTTGGAAAATAATAATTACAACTGAAAAAAGTTGGCCTATATTCGTTGAAGAATATCACAACTGTCAAATAATCTCACGAAAAAAAAACTCTAACAAACATTAAATAATTTTTTTATCCTGGTAAATAATTTAAATAATATTAATAAAAAAGTAACATTTATCAATATAAATGATTATTTTTTATTTTACATTAATTGAAAAATAATCTTATTGATGCCAATAATTTTTTTACAATATTGTCCAAAATATAATCTTATCAATATTATGAAAAATTCTTAATTAATGTTGGTCAATAAATAACCTATATCCTAATTGATGTTAGTTGAATTTTTTTAATTTAAATTAATTAAAAAAAATAATTGACTTCAATTAAAAAAGTGGTAGTTAATATTAACTGAAAATAATTGTTGATTATATATATAAGACTAATGTCATTTGTGGAAATAAATCTCGTATGTATACAATAGAAAATAACCACAATTAACATAAAAGAAATATATATATCAATTAAAAAATCATGTCGAATCAATAATGTTTTGACCTCAGTTGAGTTTGACGACATAAGATGAAAAAAAGAATATAAAGAAAATAAACATAAAACTTTAAGAAAAGAAATAATTTATAATATTTACTTGTTATATGAAATTTAAAATTTTTTAATTTTAAATAATTAAATTACTTTCATAAATTTCTTAAAACGGGCTATTTGAGAATATTGATTTTATGAATTTTAGAGTTATTATATATTATGTATTATTTATGTTATATAATACTTATTTTGTGTTAGATTTTTTTTTTATGAATTGTTTTATACTTGCACATGTATTATTTATACTTATTTTTCTCTATATTGGAAAGTCACACGCTTACTGGAGATAAATTTTCATTGTGAGATGTTTCCCTAAGTATTTTCGTAAAAATGGCAAGCGGGTGAACGAAAAAGGAAAAATGCGGGTGAGAATAATAATTCCAATGAGTGACGATCCAAGGTCAAGGCACCATTGAGTCTATGGGCTCGGCCCAATCATGCTTTCAATCTAATCATGAAGCCCAGTTCTGCCTGTAGAACAAAACGGTAAATTGGTTATGAGCCCAAAAGCTCGGGGCCAGCAACCATGATTTTAACACTACACACCTTTGGATTTGCACTCACCATAATTAAGAATTATAAATTTTAATCTGTTTTGTAAAAAATAAACTGATGAGCTAATAAATTAATTCATCAATATATTTTTTACATTAATTGTTTTAAAAAAACACACGTTTAACTATATAAATAAGTTTTAAAATTTTATTTATTAATTAATATTTTTATTAAAAAAATTAAAAAAATTATTATATTTATGTATTAAAATATTAAAATATTATAACATATTTTTATATTTATTCAATTAACATAAAAAATATAATATTTTTAATTATATAATTTTATTTTAATTTTAATATATAAATATTTTTTAAACGATAAGCTCACCCTTCCTTACCCTTTCAATTCATTTTATTAATTTTAAGATCAACTTATCAATTTTATTATCTCAATTTCTTCCCATTAAAAAGAAAAGTCTAATTACATTATTTCTTTTTCTTTGTCATCCCCTAATTCCTTAATAATACAAAACAACGTATATAAATTTAGAATAGTTTCTCACCCTATTTCCGTGTTGTAATTGGTGCCAAACATCTTTAGTCATTAACTTTTTTAGCTACTAAAGTTTGGTTCATAAGCCCTTAAGGAAGCTTTAATTTAAGAATAAAATTAGGTACAGTATTTAAAATATTTTCAATGTCTTTTCCTAATCAAAATTAGAGTTTCAATTTAGTAAGCAGTCCAAAGTTCAACGTTATCCTTAATTCATTAAACATAATATTAAGTAAAAAATCGATTTCTAAGGGCACTCAAGCTCCATCCCTAGATTAAAGAGAGAATAAATTGCATTGAATAATGCCTTCTCTACTCTCTTTTGTTTTTCTTTCGCATCCAAAATGCTCTTACTAGATTATTAGGTGAGGTAACATTAAAATGAAAACATAAACATGTGATATGTGTCAAACATAGGACGTGATTTAACTTGTCTTTGGGCAAACATAAACATGTGATGTGCGTTAAAATTATCTTTTAGTATGTGTATAGGGTACCTACCATACCCTCCACCTTTGCAACAAATATTAATTGTCTTTCAACAAAAAAGCATGCTCTTTATCAAAAAAAAAAAAAAAAAAAAAAAAAAACACTTTCAATATTCTCCTACACATGCATGTTCATATACCATTGGATGAATCAAGGGAAGAAAAAAGTATTTAATATACACAGAACTTCTCCCTTGGATATTGATACCAATGAACATGAGGATATGAATATATTAATATATATTTTTGCAGAATAGAAAGTTAATTACAAAATGCATAACTTTACACATACACATACAATCTATTTTCAAGATTCGAATCACCTGTGACAGCATCAATTTTCTAAATAAAGACTGGGTTGGGGTCAAATTGTGGTAACATTTTTTTATATTAATTTAGAAAACCTTAAACATCAAGTATCCACGAAAATTGAGTTAATTTTGATACGGATAAAAGACAGTGTAGGTGCTTTATATGAAAGAAGACCTTTAGGGTACGTAAGGCTTTCTTTTTATCTTTTTGTAACAGTGAGACCACATGCAATGCAAGGCATGGGTAGTGGCTGGGGCGATGCCGTTCGTAAGTAAAGTGAACATTTTCACAGCAACTTTTCCACTCTTCGGGATCAAAAGTGAATATACAAATTAAAGCGTGGGGAAAGATGGTGTATGTGGGCAAAACCAATCACTACCTATTATTAGCACACCATATCTATCCATCCATTCACATAAGCTATAGTTGATATATAATGGTGATAACTGATCAATTTCCTAACCCTACAACATATATCTTAATACAAAGAAACGCCACTTAATTACCATAATATTAATAAAAAAAACCAGTATATAGAACTAAATTAATGCATGTAATTGGAAGAAAATGAATATATATTTATAGATGTATTGATAAAAATTTAGGTAAGAATGAGAAAGTGTTTTTCTACTTACAAGTATTTTGGTTCCTAGGTTTGTAAATCTAATATAATTTTTGGGGTTTGGAAGAGATTAATATATAGATAGATTTTTAATGAAGGATAATAAATTTTTTTACTCAACTACTTTTATATAAAGTGAGATTTCAATTTACACCTAGATTCTTAATAATATCTCTTTAAATATGATTCTTTTTTATATTGATTTACCTTTCGTTCAAAAGACAATACACTAAATTCTAAACTATTTATATTGTCATTTAACTCAACAAGATTTGATTATTTAAAAGAAAATCAAATTTAATTAAGTAAATTATCCAACTAACCATGAATTTTAATACCACTATTGTGTATTTGCAAAGGAGATTAATACTAAATTAAATCAATGGTAAAGAAGAATATGATATATATATATATATATATATATAATATAATATAAAATATTAAGTTATATGGTGTTTTTCATTTATATAAATTACTTAATTTTTTAATTTTTATTCAATTCAATGAAAAATTTTACCTTGTTCTTAAATTTTTAACACGTAGAAGTGGATCAAATAAGATATTCTATAATTATCCAATCTTAATAGTATTTCACAATTCCACCAATTCACAAAGAAAACTTTACCCTTGCCCAATTGTATATCCGATGATGATAAGGATATAATTTGCCCTATCTTATCCCCTTGATTAGACAAAAAGGAAAGAAGTTTACACAATTTTTCACCTTACCTAGTCACCACGCAAAATGATTTTTGGATGGAAACTAAAAGCATGAAGAAAAGAACATTTACTATGTTTATTACATTCAAAACGAAAAAATTAACTAAATCCTTGGGCTTAGGCTGA